AATTCATAGATGAGTGGAGTAAAATAGACTCGAAACATCCATTCATAAATATCCAACAAAAATTATTTTCAATTTAAATTTTTTCAAAACATTCTAGGATCAAATCTACAATTGTCTGGGTGCAAAGTGACATATAGAGTGATCTACAAAGTTTTTTTGCATTATTTACGTTTTTTTATTTGTTGAGAATTGCGCTGGACAGTCTATCAATGGACTAATTATCAAATACTTAGTTTATGAACTTATGCTTGTTTAAATACTGTCTATATTACCCCATCATCTCCTATACTACAGCAAAATAAAAAGTAAAGAATAAGTTGAAATCCTCATTACCTTCATAATATGAAAAAATAAATTATTATATTAGTTTTATCACAATTTTTTGTCTTGTCAACGTCAACATGAAGTCGCAACAATAAATTTCCTCCAATTCGATTAGTTATTAAAAATTGGTATGGATAATGCCGCACGCGCATCTCTCTCTCTTTTTTATTTGAAAATTTCCCGCCCGGAGATGAGTCCCCCGGAATCTGCCTTGCCTGCCTTGTGATGTATTAGTATCGTATCGATCAATGTGAAGGAAACCACTTTGTTGTAATACACATCTTACCACCTTTAGACCGTTTTTCTCACAAAGTTATTGTAAAATTAACCCTGTCATCGGTATAAATCTAACAGTACCCTCATAACGTGATTACTTTGCACATCGGTAGAGAACAAATACATCACAGCTACCGACCATGTGTACTCTGTGTACTTCATCTGGCATTATGAAAAAAGTAATAATAATAAACGAATTTGTTTGACATCAAATAGTGTGCTTTGTTTGTTTGCACTATATCAACCATAATGATGTAAAAGTACAAAATTACTAGCGATAACCAATTATTAAAAGTGAATAACTAGTCACTTGTGGACTCCACTGGTAAGTAAATAATTAATTGGATAAACATAACAAAAGACATCTTTCATTGCCCTTGAAACAAGTACATAACTTTGTCAAAATAAATTCAAACTCAACAAGCTGAATTATGATATTTCCTTGATTTTTGATTGAGACAAATGTATAATTGATAAAATCGCAAAATGATGTCTGTTGAATTCTTGATACAGCTGTAAAAACTATTGGAAAATGCTGTCAGACCGAGTTCCAGGGCATCGTCAGCTGCTCTTCTACTCTTCATTCACCTGCATCTATTTTCCTTGCATTCTGATTCTCTTGAAATTAAATGAGAACCTCTACAATGTAGGAAAATACAATTTCATCCCCATTCTGCTGATTCTGCTGTTCGCGGAAGGTATAAAATGGGGATTCTCTATCCTTTCCAAGGAACAGAACCACTTTGGAAAATTGGAGACACGCTTACCTCGCTCGAAGAAACCCTGGACCAAGGGCATGAGAGAGATAATCAAGTTCCTGACCCTCCTGTTAATGTTGGCCTCCATCTACTACGTCTTGATAATTCTCTTCGGTGCACCATTGTCGACCCACAGGGAGGAGACCTCAATGCTTGCCATCACCCTTACTACATTAACCTTCGTCACCCCTAGCCTCCACGTGGGTGTAGACGCTACCTTGGGGATTCTCTCTCGTCTCCAGTTCTCCAATAGTAATATTATTGCAGAGGCCATGAGTTTGAACATTAAGGCTACACTTTTAGGAACATGGCTGGGGGCTATCGTAATTCCTCTGGACTGGGACAGACCCTGGCAGGTCTGGCCCATTCCTTGCGTCATTGGGGCACTCGTTGGCTACATGATTGCCCACTTCATCACCCTCATCAAGATGTTGCCCATTGGGGGTGTTTTGAGGTTGAATAAGAAATTCCATAGATAGTGAATCTAGAAGTTGAACATTTTTTGATTCACCATCTAGGAGTTTTTACACATTTTTGAGACAATCGATTATCAATCGTACCTTTGTTGGGAGTTGAGTTGTTTGCAGTCATCGTCCATTAAATTCAATATTAACGCCGATCTATTTTGATCATTGAATTTTTTATGGTTAATAAAATAGTTAATTACTGAAATTG